GAATAACAACAACAAAATCCAGAAAACGCATGTCAAAAATGTTATAAATTGATTTGCATTTTAATGAGGGAAATAAGTATTTGACCCCTCTGCAAAACATGACTTAGTACTTGGTGGCAAAACCCTTGTTGGCAATCACAGAGGTCAGACGTTTCTTGTAGTTGGCCACCATGTTTGCACACATCTCAGGAGGGATTTTGTCCCACTCCTCTTTGCAGATCTTCTGCAAGTCATTAAGGTTTCGAGGCTGACGTTTGGCAACTCGAACCATCAGCTCCCTCCACATATTTTCTATCGGATTAAGGTCTGGAGACTGGCTAGGCCACTCCAGGAACTTAATGTGCTTCTTCTTGAGCCACTCCTTTGTTGCCTTGGCCGTGTGTTTTGGGTCATTGTCATGCTGGAATACCCATCCACGACCCATTTTCAATGCCCTGGCTGAGGGAAGAAGGTTCTCACCCAAGATTTGACGGTACATGGCCTCGTCCATCGTTCCTTTGATGCGGTGAAGTTGTCCTGTCCCCTTAGCAGAAAAACACCCCCAAAGCATAATGTTTCCACCTCAATGTTTGACGATGGGGATGGTGTTCTTGGGGTCATAGGCAGCATTCCTCCTCCTCCAACCACGGCGAGTTGAGTTGATGCCAAAGAGCTCCATTTTGGTCTCATCTGACCACAACACTTTCACTCAATTGTCCTCTGAATCATTCAGATGTTCATTGGCAAATTTCAGACGGGCATGTATATGTGCTTTCTTGAGCAGGGGGACCTTGCGGGCGTTGCAGGATTTCAGTCCTTCACGGCGTAGTGTGTTACCAACTGTTTTCTTGGTGACTATGGTCCCAGCTGCCTTGAGATCATTGACAAGATCCTCCCATGTAGTTCTGGGCTGATTCCTCACCGTTCTCATGATCATTGCAACTCCACGAGGTGAGATTTTGCATGGAGTCCCAGGCCAAGGGAGAACAGTCTCTCACTGTTCAAATAAACCTACCATTAAAATTATAGACTGATCATTTCTTTGTCAGTGGGCAAACGTACAAAATCAGCAGGAGATCAAATACTTTTTTTCCTCACTGTACTACTGATCTGACACTGGTGAGACTAGGCCATAAAGAACGCTGTCTCTGGTGTAGGCCAATCAACTTCAAAGACAATGCATATTATCAGAGCATGTTTGTTTGTTTGCATGTTCAACACAAGTATGAGTGGTTAATGCAAACTTGATTCCTTGTAGAAAGGGTACAATCTATCTCTGGGCAGTGTTATTTCGGAATTGCTTTTGCCTAAAAAGTATATAAAATGGCTATTATTCCCCACAAACTTTGCTTTTGTGACCAGGACAGTGATATTTTGAAATGTACCTATTTTCAATGAGAAATTGGGATAATTTATTTATTTTCGTTCACATAAAATCAGAAAAAACAACATATGAATCAAAATGAATATGCATTTATACTAAATTTATACAAAAATGACTACAAAAAATTTAGAAGTTTTGTAGTTTTCCGATATTTACGATTTTACTGTAAATCACTTTCACGAATCAGCCCCCAAATGTAGTCTCTCATCATGTTCTCGTTCTACTGTCCTTGCTAGCGTCGTTCAAAGTCTAGTATATCCTGGTGGAAGCGCTCACCTTGCTCCTCTGAGTACGCTCCCATGTTCTCCTTGAATTTATCAAGATGAACATCAAGGATTGAACAACGTTGGAAAACCTTCCAATGTGTCGAGCGGCATGAAGAAAGGAGGAGGGAACGTTGTTGCGTCATGACACCGTCCAGCGGTTGAACGCGGCGAGTATGGGGCAGAGGTCGCAAACGGGTTTTGATTCCTTACCCGTACCCGGCCGCACCAGGGTCGCAAACGGGTACCCGTACCCATACCCTACCCGATACCCGGCTACCGGTACCTGGCCGGGTATCGGGTAGGGTACGGGTACCCGATTACGACCTCTGGGATGAAGCCATGTTGCAGGCGTGGGTGGGTTGATTCTAGGAACTTGAATTTTGAGAAGAAACAAGACGTTGGGAAATAAGTGACAAACGGTTACTCACCAGTGACTCACGGCCTACCCGTACCCGGCCGCACCAGGGTCGCAAACGGGTAGCCGGGTATTGGGTAGGGTACGGGTATCGGGTACCCGATTGTGACCTCTGGTATGGGGGGGGAGGGCCGTCAAAAGCTGTTGGCGTCGCTTCTCGCTGGCTGCCCTGCGTTCAGGGCCCTCGGGGGCGCCTTGTAATCAGTGGCCGTGATCAAACTTAACACACGCAAATGACAAAACAGCCAAACTATCATGTCCCCACGACTTAAATAGTTAATGGCATTGGCAGCAGGACACCGCGGTTTCTCTCAATTACAATCGGCAAAACGGCAACGGATGGAACGCGCGGCACAAGCCTAGTGCCGCAGGCGGGCATGGCCACTGCCGTTTGGGTCCGAGGCACAAGCCTCCGCCGACTCTCCCTTTGGTGTCTGCACGGCTTTCGTGAGATGTGAGGCAAAGTGATATTGCATATTCGCTAATTCACAGATCTCTCTCTCCCTCCCTCGCTCTCTGCACAGTGAGGATGCACGCCGCATATCAATGTCGGGAGCCCATGGGGCAGACACGCAAGCGGGAGGATTAGCAGAGGAACTCCCATCAGCTTGCCCCCGTGGGCTGATGGTAAGGGGTTGGGAGGTTGAGGCAAGAGTGATGGTGATGGGAGGATGATGTCAGAATGTTGTTAGGGAGAAGGGTGATTGGTGGTAGCGTAATGGATGATGGTAATGTGATGCGAGGACGACAGTGATGGCAGGGAAGGTCGTGTGCGATGGCGGTGCAAGTGCCATGGTCGGTAATGCGATGGATGTTGGTAGTGTCATGGGTGACGGTGGAGCGACGTGGAGGTTGACGATGAGGCGAGGGTCATGGTCGTGTAACGGGAGACGGTGTGAGGCGACGAGGAGCGCGATCGGCTGTAGCAGCTTCCTCCTCCTCCTCGTCCCGGCCCCTTGCGTCGCTCGCTCCGTGGGATCGACGCCCGGGAACGGCGCGACCTCCCGCTCCCCGCGTCGTCCATCAACCCCCCCCCCCCGCCACCTTCCTCCCTCCCGGCACGCGGAGCGCTGAGCACGGCTCGAACGCCCGCCTGTCCACCCGCCTGTCCACCCGCCTGTCCACCCGCCTGTCCGTCCGCCTGTCCGCCCGCGCGCCCCACCAGCATCGCTCCGCCCCAGGCAGCTGTTACGGTGCCGTGGCGGCTTGGCAGGACAAGTACGAAGACTGTGCTTGCCCATGAATTCACGGTCACTTTAGTTATTCATGCACCGTGCGGTGAGAAGGCTCCACTTGCTCAGCCATTGCCACGATTATCTTGCCCTTCTCACTCACCGCGCTCCCCGAATCACACCAAGGGGACACGTTTCTGTTATCTGTGTTTGTCCACGGATAAGAAGAGTGGTTCCCCAAATTAGGTGACGAATTCTTCCTCCTGTCCATGCTCAACCGTAGATGAGTCACAAGGGAATGGCCTCTGGGAAGCGCTAAATTCATCTCATTGTCCGTGTTTGTCCGTGGATAAGAGGAGGCCCCACAGAAGCAGATATTTGCACGGATAAACACAGATAACAGATAAACACAGATAATAGATAAACAGATAATAGATAAACACAGATAATAGATAAACACAGATAATAGATACACACAAATAGATACACACAGATAATAGATACACACAGATAATAGATACACACAGATAATAGATAAACACAGATAATAGATAAACACAGATAATAGATACACACAGATAATAGATACACACAGATAATAGATACACACAGATAATAGATAAACACAGATAATAGATAAACACAGTTAATAGATAAATACAGATAAGATGATTCCCTACAAGCGCCTCCCAAACGCCCACATCAACAGCAGTAGCCCAAACCCCCTAGGGACAAACCAAACGAGGAACACGGTCACTCTTTAAACACCTTGATTCATTAAAAGATAAACAAAGCATATTCTACTGTCTATACAATGTCTTGCAGAAAACAACAATGTCATACTTTTTTGTTTGTTTTAAGGACGTAAAGAACATCGTCACACCACCCCCGACAGACACGGACGTGACGTCACAACGGAGATGACCTCTCGCCCGGGGGGGCGTGGTCTGTATGCGCGCAGTGGCAGTGACGTCGTCGTCACCGCACCTCGCCACGTGTCACGCGCGCGCTGGAATGGCGGGAGTTTCCATGGTGGCATTATGGTACTCGCAGTAAAAACGTTTTGATTTAGCCATGTTTGTTTGTTGTAGTACAGAGTTAGCCTGATAACTTTAATCTACATTGTCTTATGGTTATTGTTTGACTTGCATACCACTGGGATTTTTGCACACAGCGTTGTGATATACAGTGTTTTTTCTGGAAGACTTTGCTGTTTTTTCCAGGAATTTTATGTTGCGTGTAGTCACTTTAAGATGTTTCTTGTTCATGTTTTTGTTTTGTTACGGTTGCACCCGAGTCAAGAGCCGCATGGTTCACAGGGTTATACCTAATAATTGAAACTGAAAAGTTTGGAGGTCACCGGTTTCATTTCGCCTGCCGGTTGGAACGGCCGCTCCAATTGATCAGATTCACCGTCGCCGCGGTCGATTGATCGGCAGATCGCGTGCGGGGTGGGGTAAAGCGTGGGTTCTCCGAGCTCTTCCGACACGTCTGTACCGGCGAGGAAGAGTGGAGCAAACACCCTCCAGAGTTCGCTCTGGCTGAGGCCCTTCAACCAGCAATGAAGTGCAGAGCAGCACCTTGACCTCTAGCCACGGAACCGACAGGATGAGCGCACGCCACATTCATTTTAGGCCCCGATTCTCGGTGCGGGTCTCCACCCCATGCGTGCGTGAATGAGGTTCATTTGGAGCCCTAATGCGGCTGCTGCTGCTGCTCGTTCACAGCGGGAAAAAACGAAATGACATAAAATCCAATATTCAAAATGTTGTTTTATTTGGGCGTCTAACTTAACAATGGTTTACTGAACTATTCAAAATCTAAACGCCTATGATAACACATATATGACAAATATGCATTTCCTGTTATCGTTTACAATATATTGGGAGAAAAAAAGTTCAGCATAAAACATTTCATTCCAACACAACAGTGCTTCTGCTCCCCCAGTGAGTGGCAGCACAACCCCAGCGCCTCCTCCACCTCTGGCTCAGCAGCGGGGAGAGTGGCGGTGGCGGTGCTGTGAGCACCAAGAGGCTGACACGTCAAGCACAACGTGGTTTCCTGCTGCTCAACGGAGCACCGGGATGGTGCTCATCTCCCGTTTACAGCCCTGTAAGGGGCAAGTGGTGGAAATTCCACATTCCTGTGGTGGGGTCGAGACCTTCAATAACACAACCGTTTTCGACTTCCCCACAGAAATGGTACTAATTTTATAGTCCCCGATGGGAGAGATGATGGGCGTTACCCCACCCCCCCAAACCAGGATTTGAACTCGCAACTTTCTCATCGCGAGCCGCTCGCTCTACCGCTGAGCCATCTGGTGGGATTTTTTTTTAAACAGGGAGGCCAACAATAAATGAAATGAGGCGCTGGCAAAAAACAACACAGGTTTGGTTAAGGGCAAGGTTATGGTAATTGGGTGGGGGCTGGTACCCGTGGCTGCTTGGCTCGTGAGATAGGGGTAAGCGGTAGGACCAGTGATTGGCTGTTGAGCTGCACCCCAAAACCTGCTCACCTCTCCTCCCGACTGCAACGTGTGGCCTTTTTTTGGTTGCTGCCCACGTTTAATTTCAGGTGCTCACGGCACCAGCGTCGCCCTCGTGTGGGCTAGGGGCGCCCGGGAGCGGCGAGGAGGCTCACGTCCGGCCCAAGCTCGGTACTGCCCTCGAACCCGGACGTGCAAGGAGGCCACGGCTTCGTTGGCGTGGGGGGTGGGGAGGACAAACATCGTGCGGCAGCTCAACGACGTCAAACAAGAGCCGAGGCGCCAATCGCCGTTTGAAGAAACGGTCGAGTTTGAACCCTGTTGACTTCGCGATAAACTAAGCTTATCATTTAACCCGAGGGGTGCCACTCCACGGACCGCGTGTGATAATTTACGACGCGGCGCTTCTATGCGATTGGCCTTTCCGTTTGCCAAATTACCGCGGCGCAGATGTGGCAACGATCAATTTGCCTCAGCGGTGTGTGCGGCCCAGCGTGGCGTCTCACGCCCCCCCCCCCCCGCTCCGCTCTCTAGCTCCTGGTCGTCACGACCCGCATAGGCGTGGCCGTCAAAGGGATCAGTGCTTCGATAAGCACTCCTTAAATATAATAAATAAATAACCCGACCGTGGGCTCTGTGCGGTGTCGGGTTTGTGTTGGATTCTGCAGGGAAGCGGCCCTAAGCTGCGTGCGAGGCGTCACCAAGTCTCCACGGGGAGAGCCATCGCTTTCTCGGCCACGACGCCCTCTGCCCTCTGCCCCCTGGAGTCCCTCCACAACTGCCCGGCCCCCACCACGCCTCGGGGCCCCACCGCTGCTTTCCGTGTTCCCCGCTGCCCCTCCGCTTGCCTCACCACTCCCCCAGCCCTTTCCTTCACGAGCGTGGCTCGTCGGGTTTTTTGTGCGCCACTCCAGGACCTCTGCCACTCCTTGCCAGGCCGTTTGTCAGCGCCACGGGCCGGGGGCAAAAATCAATGCATTCCCGTTTTTGTTCACCGAGCGAAACGTGAGACACACGTCGCTGGAAATGCTGAAAACTGACAACGGCGTTTTGATCCGCCGTGCGTGGGAGGACAATGATAGTCTTGTGGTGACGAGCCTCATTGTGGCTACGGTTCTCACAAGAGGCTGATCGCGATAATAGTTTAACTACAAAATTGCACCGCTAATGTGTGGCGTATGCGCTAAACGATTCGCGCTCCGGCGGGGGCGGTAGACCGCCCCGTGACCTCGCTTCCTCAAAATCCTCATCTCTAATTTAAACCCCGACCGGAAATACGCAGCTGAGCCCCCCCCACCCCCCGCTCTTCCGAATGCCGGGAACAACAGCGCCAGTTCTTTTGGCAGTCGATTGCACAAGGAGCAGGGTGGCGTGTGTGGGCCCCAGTGCATGTGGCCGCGGTGGCCTGACGCGAGCTGCAATGTGGAATCACTGCACCGTGCTTGTGTGGGAGTGAGGAGCGTTGTGGTTGCGATGGGCAGGGTGGTGAGGGGTCTCCCAGACTCCCAGGGACACCGCGGGAGCACGGAGAGCACTGGCCGGGCCCACGGGGAATGGAGGCCCCCCGTCTCCCCTTCTGTGGTTTGGGTTCTGACTGCAAGGGGCCGAGGCTCAGAGTTGGGGCGGTAGCGGCCCCGATGAGTGGAGTGGGTGGCAGGGAAACGACAGCACGAGAGATGGGAAGACGAAGAGGCAAGGAACGGGAGATGGTGTGATGAGCAGGCAAGGGGATTGGGGAGAAGGGGAAAGAAATATAGAGGGGAAAATGGAGACGTGGGTAGAGGCAACAGAGAGAGATATTCATGCAGATGAAAGGATGGAATTGCATGGAAATATTGAGAATGGGAGATGGGATTAATTGGATATGGGGAGATGGAACTAAGGGGCATCAGCTGTTTTTTGTAGACAGAACTGACAGCCCTCAAAAAGACAAGTTCAATCAATGAAAAGTTATAATCAAGCGTTAAAAAGTGCCCGTAATATTTGATTATCTTTCCCTTGGACTGTACACTGGTTTCCCACAATGCGTCACTAGAAAATGCACACACAGTGCACCGACTGCAACGTCGGCATAGCGAGAGCAGAAGCGGTGTGACGGGGGACGGAAGGTGGGTGATGGGTCGAGAATGGCTGGCGGCTGAACGTGCGGTGCTCTGCGTCGCCCCGCATTGCCTCACGTCGCCCCGCGGAGGCTCGTCCGGGAGGTCGGCAGAGTGAGGCCGTGGCGTCGCGTGCGCGTCCTCGAGCCTCAGCGTCGCTGAGCGGCCACCGCGGCTACGTGTCCCGACCAGACGGGGGGATGTGAGGACCGTTGCGCGCCTGCGCTCTCCTCAAAGCGACACGCGAGAGGTGGCAGGAGCCGTGCGGAGCTTCGAGCGGTGCCCCCCCTCCCTTGCTCCGCGGTACAAAACCGGCCGGTGGCAGCGGTGCCACGTCTGTACAGCGGGTCCGTGCGTCCTCGTAAAAATCCTCAAAGTGCGCCAGAACATAACCGTCGGTTTATATAGCGCGGTACACATGAGCGAGCAGAGAAAAACCCTCCGGGAGCGCGGGGACCAGCAAGGCCCACGCGGAGCCCACGCAGGGCCCACGTGGGCAAGTGGCTGTCGTGCCCGATGCGCGAGCGCTGGTCACGACCTCGTGGCACCGCCACTCGCGGTGCGCGCGCCAGAGGCCACCGATTGTAGGGTTTGTGTGAAGCGTGCGTCGGGGTTCGCTTCTGTGCTTTTGTCACCACGGTCGTCGTCCGGAGCGATCTTCACTTCGTGGCTGCGCTTCTGTTAGAGCGAGCGAGCAAGTGGGGTGACCTGGTCTTCACATGCCTGGATGGACGACCGTGCGCTACAGTTCATCACCCTGGTCAGCAGCCACTGAGAAGTCTGATTTGCAGCGTGTACCTCCTCCTCACCACCTCTTCACCGCCTTCTTACCACACTCTGTTTGGTGTTTAAGGTACAGTTTCATCATAAGCCTCTTTCTCGTTTCGGGAAGAGTGAATACAAACTAAATGCGTGTGCGCACACACGCACGCGCGCACATATAAAGAACCGAACTTGATCCACATCGTGTCCAGGTATCGTGAGCAGGGCCTCAAGTGGAGCCAGCCGACGGCCGATTGGTAGAGCGCCATGAATACCGCGCGCCGTGCAGTCCGCGGCCTGTCCTCACATTTTGCCCGGCACCCGCCGGCCGGCGCAAACCAGACACGAGTATAAAATCTACTTTGCTGGGGGGGTTTGCCGGCGGACCTTCGAACGAACTCACGCTTCCCGGGGGAGTGGGGAGGGGGCGGGGGGGGCACAGGTGGGCGAGCAGTGCCCGCGGAGGCTGGGGCTACACGCGCGTGGTGGAGTGTGAGTGCGGTAGCGTGCCGCTGTTGAGCCCCGCGAAGCTGTTGAAGGTGTGCATGGGCTGCATGTTGGGCATGGCTATGGAGCCGGGGATCATGGTGATGGTGTTGGGCGTCATGAGCGGGACGTCGTCGGGGGAGCGCCGCATGGCGAGCGCGTAGTCCGGGGGGCAGGGCGCGCCCACGGAGCCCCGCAGGCCGTCGTGACCGAAGGCGAACTCGCACTCGTGGCCCTGCTCGGCACGCTTCATCTGCAGCGACATGATCTCCTCCTCCTGGGTGTGCGCCACCTCGCCCGTGTTGCCCGCCGTGCCCACGCTGCGCTCGGGGCTCTGCCGGCGGTAGGCGCCGTGCCGGCTCTTGTCCTTGCGGTAGTAGAGCGCGGCGAAGGCCAGCACGTTGAGGAAGAGCAGCGAGGCGCCCACGGCGATGGTGACGCTCAGCTCCGTCGAGTAGTCCCGCTGCTCCTCCACGAGCGCGTCCGAGTCTTCCGGCGTCCTCGGATTCTGCCATTCGCCCTTGGGGGGCCGCCCCCCCAACGGGTCAGAGGCCGAGAACGGCCGCTTGGTCGCCGCCCAGCCCTTGTTGCCGGGGGACCTCCGTGGAGGGCCCGCCGCTGCCGACGGCGCCGTGGCGTCGTAGGGCGGCGCCTTGGTGGTAGTGCTCGTGTACTGGAACACGTCGTGCAGGTTGTGCAGGTGCGGCACCAGTTCGAGCCAGAAGGCCACCTTGGTGGCGCGGTAGTGCTCGCGCATGCGCGGCTTGAGGCCGATGTGCAGGTAGTGCTGGTCACGGGGGTTGTACTTGGACCAGGCCACTTCCTCGAAGCGGTTCGGCTTCGTGTGGATGAACTTGGTGTCCTGCGGCACTGGCTGATTGGGGTCCCTGCGCAACGAGAGGGAGGAGCAGCAGACAGGGCATTAGAACCGAGGGGCACGCGGCCACACATCGACCATGGACGCAGGGCACCATTTCAGACGGGTCGATGACCCGGAAAATATATCCGCATCCAGCAACCACGTCAGCTACCCCGATTGTTACAACTCTGGCTACCAGTTCCGTTGCCTGCTCAAGTCTACGGGCTCCCCGACACGAGTTGAGTGAAAACTCTAACCCTGCTTGGGCATCTCTCGCAGCCAAATCACCGTTGAACGCATTCGACCTTGTCAAATCACAGAAGCTAAGCGGCGGTCGAGCACGATTCGTGCTTGGACGGGCGACCTCTTGGGATTTACAGGTGTTGTAGGCGAGGGGATGTGAGGTGGTCCACACGTGGATGTGCCGAGTGTCACGCTCTCGGACGCGGTGGTTATCTCTGGGCACGCTGGTTAACTCCCGCATGCCAAATGTTCATTAGTAGAGTTGGACAAACATCCAAAAACATTGGGATGGTTTGTGATGTTTTTGAACTCTGAGGCTTTGCGCAATAAATAAATGGCATTATCCACTCCTATATTTAAAACCTACTCCTTCCTATTGAGTTTGAATGGAGTATTGGAGTCACTGCTCAGTATTTAAGAGTATTTCGCTGCTATTAAAAAAATGACGTGAAAAACCGCTTTATTGGGCTATCATTTCTGGCCAGGTCGCTTCTGAAAAATATATGGACATAGCACTGTGGACCTTACCGGATAAAATAAAACGTCAGTTTTAATTCGTAGTTATGATATGGCATTTCTTGTAAACTATACCACGTAACACAGTGTCTGGCTGGAAATTAAGTGCTTATTAATGATTTAAAACAATCTATGCTGCAACCATCCATCCAGCACCTGCACACGAGCCAAAGTCATGCCTCCTCTCTGCGGCGAACGAACATCTCAGGCGCGGCACATCCTTCGGTCGCCACTCTCGTAGCTGGGGCACACGGTGGAGCGGCAGCCAAACGAGCGGCAGCTTCGTGACCACCAGCGACTTTTACTCCTCAACAGGGGCACCCACCCATCCGCTTTCAACGACGTGTTGCGGCGCGTGCGGTCCCAGCTGATGCGGGGGCCATGGGGCTCTGTCTCTGATGGCTCCTCGCTCGGCCGAACGTTTCAATCAGGGAAATGCGGCGCGTCTTTGCGGTGGCCTCGCTCAGGATTTACTGCGCCGCTCTGCCTCCCTCCCTTGCACGACTTAGGCTCCGCATCTCTTTTAATTATTAATTCACTCAACCCTTGGCTCCAACCTTTACGCCACATTTGAATGGGAGAGATTTATAGGGGACTCTAGCACGGCGCAGAAAGAAAAAAAACACCCAGGCTCCGTCACTTAAAATGCAGCTCCTGCCCCAGTGGACGAGCGGAAATCATTCTGTCTCAAGCCTCCTGCGTCCCTGTGTCCCTGTTCGCCATACCCACCATGTCTCTGTACGCTCATGCCTCTGTCTCCCCATGCCAGCTGTGTCTTTGTGTCCCCATCTCTCTGCACCCCCATCACATCCGCACTCTCTCGTGTCTCTGACCCCTGAATCTCGCTCCCCTAACCCTAGGCCCTAAGCCCTCCCACATTCCCGTGCCTTCATGCCAAGTGAGGTGCCCACCGGTCTGAACTCCGTGGCGTGTGCCAACACCACCAGGAGCGGCAGCAACGTGGGCAAATCACAGTGGTTAGCGGTTTGTCCAGAAAATATATCCACACCCGGCACACCACATCCACGGTACTTCTATTGGTCATGTGCCACTCATTCCAGTTTAACAGCAACTCGGAGGATATTGAGTGAGAAGCGAATGTAACTGGTAAATTCTTCGCTTGATAGAAAATAATTCATAGCCCTCACCTGTGACCGAATCACCTGGGATGCACCCCACCTCATCAGATTTCAGAAGCTAAGCAGCTTTGAGCCTGGACAGTGCTTAGATGGGCGACCACCATGCGCAGAAAAACAGCGCTGCATAATCCATAATTGTACTTTACGACGATCTCACACCAACGATCATTGCATTCACCAACTCGCACTGGCCAGCGTGACGAAGTATGGTCAAATAGCTGTCATGAACCGTATGGCATTGGGTAGGCCATCAGCAGATTGACAATAGGGGCCATGTCTTCTGAAGGGACACTCGCAAGAGGAGCTGCGAACGTGATAGAGACGCCGTGAATAGCAATGCATCGCAGATTTTCACAAATTGAAAATGCAATAGACTCCCTGCAGGCTATTTACTCTTACTAATGGTTATAGCAAATTATAAAAAAAATACGCACTGTATTTGCAATCGAAATAAGGGGGGCGAGGATTACGTAAGAAATGATGGCGAAGGCAGCGCTTTCATAACTCTCTGATACTTTTTGGCTTAATGACGATGGAGCAATTATCATCGCGAGCAAAGTCCATTTCCCGTGGCAGGTTGAATAAATAATCATCATTAGGGCGACGTTATTGAGACAAATAGTGCCAGGGTTTACTCAGGAACCCCGCAACACGCGCCGTGTCCTCGTAAATTATAAACGGGCGCCACGGCGACGTTCAAGAGTCACAGCCGACAGACTCCTGCTCACGGAGCCACCGCCAGAGCGCGGCTCCATCCATCATGGGCAGACCCAGCGCTCACGCCCCGCAGAGCCCAGTGTGCTGGGCAACACCTCGTACTCGTCAGTGTGGTGAAGTATCTATCGTGTGCCACTCGGTGAGGCCGCACTGCTGCCGTCCCGGTGAGGACAGCGCAACAGGATGTGCCCTTGTGTGGACAGGGCCACTCTGGGTTTACTGGAGGCCAAGGGGTGGGGGCCCTCTGTTGTGTGAGGCACCGAGAAAAGTTGCCTCCTTTTTGCCCAGGCCACGCTCGTCATGGAGACGAGGCTCTGGCTCCTCCGCAACGGCGACCACGGCTGAAAACAATCTTCCACGCATCCAATCACCTTCCTCTTGACAGCGGCGTGACGCTGAACGAATATTTATGCCACGCGGACCCCCGTAGCCCGTAGCCCCGGAGATTGCACTACAAAAACCCAGCCCCATTTGGCATTCGCTGCCGTCCATCCACTGTTTTGAGATTTCGTTCGGACGGTCGGGGATGTGGAGAACTTTTCACAAATGTTAATTGCATGTTGAATAGTTCACAGGTAGAGAAGACACGGGTCCATCACGAGAGATGGGGAGAGGCTACAAATTACCATCGTTCATCTGCAATTCCGTTGATGAAGCACGCGAGAGCGACTGCCTGCGGTTCCACTCCCAGCCAATCCACCCACGGCACCACGGAACCCCACGCACAGCGCACCAATTAACCTCGCATTGAGGAGCGCAAGCGCTCGCCGTGGTCGGGAACATTTCCGAGGTGGTGGGGCTTCGTCTCAGCCGAAAGGCTCGAAGGGAAGTGAGGCCAGGCTTCCTGGGGGTGAGCGGGGGTGAGGGGTGGTGAGTGGTGGTGAGGTGTGACACACACCGTGCGTCACAGCCCGTGCGTCACAGCCCGTGGGTCATGCCTCCTAATTGCTGCCACTGCCGTGCATGCTCGGTGGGCTGTGTTCTACCACAGGAGGCATCTGGGCGCTCTGTAACCGAACGTTGCGCGACGTTATGAGACACGCGGTGCGGAACCGATTCCCAACGTTACAGAGACACAGAGGAGCGCAGCTCAAACTGTCTCGCGACAACGACGGAGCGTGCGTTGGCACCCCCGTGGGAGAGATGGGGACCTGTTCCACAATCGCTCCGTGGTGGCATCGTCGTCACGGGAGGGGAATGTAATCCTGAGCCGATGCTCTTCACCTGTGACCTCGTCACAGAGCCAGCAAGCGCTCGGATAGCCGTGTGCAGCAGAGTCGTGACACTCGTGCCTTGTAGCCAAGAAGCGCCCGGGTTCGATTCCTGACTCGTGCGCCTTTCTGCACGATGTGTGGATGCTCTCCCCCCATTCTGCATGGGTTTTCTGGGGTTTCTCCGGTTTCTCGGGTTTCCTCTCACAGCTTAAACGAAAACCATAGAATGTAACTGCAAATTTGCCAAAAAAACCATCCCAATGCTGAAAAAATATCTGTACATTACTCAATTGGGATTTCAGATAGCAGCAACTGACTGCGAAAACTTGGCAAGGCCCTCCCAACAAAGATCCCCTGAGGCTCAGTGAGGCTCTCCTGGGTAAACAAAACAACGAAATGGGTGGTCCTGCCCGGTGCAGGCGGTACACCCAACACCATGATTGGTGGATTGCCAAGAGGATAGGAGTTGCCCGAAGCTCTGATCACTGACACACACAGTCCGTGTTGTGATAGATTCCACACAAGCAACGATTTACTTTCCCAGCAATTTGGTAAATGATGGGGTCGCGATTCGACGTATGAATGACATTGCAATCTCATCTGTATCCTTTTACATCTTTACATTGCATTTGTACAGTTCTTTCAGCTGGTTAATTCGACTAAATGTAACTTCAGCACGCCACGCATATATATTCTCATGCAATTTGTGAAATTTGTAAATAATCGATTCTCGCGCGCACCGTCCTATGAGTGTATCGCGAGAATAAATCTCAGTTGATGAATCGAGGCATCAATGCAAGCCTAATGGATGGCCATGCGTCATCGGCTAACGACCGTCGCAACCTCTCCAGCCACCACCAGCCCACGTGGCTCAGAGCGAGCGGCTCGCAATTGGATGGTCTTGAGTTCGGCTCCTGCTTCGGGGTTGACTCAGCTCATCATCATTATCCCTACGCGGTTGATCAAATACAAGCAACCGCGTTGTGGAGAAGTCAACAGTTGTTTCCCTCTGGATATACTGGTCCCCGTCATTGGATTGTTGAATTTTCACCACTGGCTCAGGGCTGTAAGCAGTGGATGAGTACCAATGCATCGACGCTCATTTGAGTAGGAATCACTCGGACTTGGGAGGGCTGCGATGTAACAATCCGGACATCAGCTCTGGGGGATCAACGCCTCCACTGTGGTTCACGCACCACAAGCATCCACGGTTCCGTTTCACTCACAGTGTGTTTACTCACCACACGACAGCTGACAGCAACACACCCACCCACTCACCTACCCGCTCACTTACCCACTCACCCACCCACTAACCTACCTACCCACTCACTCACATACTCACTCACCTACCCACTCACTCACCTACCCACTAACTCACCTACCCACTCACCCATCCACTCACCCACTCACTCACTCATCAACCTACCCACCTAACCACTCACCTACCCACTCATATACCTACCCACCCACTCACCACTCACCCACCCATTGACCCACTTACCACACTGCAGGTCACCTCACTTCTCTCTCTCTGCTTTCCTCCCTCGCATCGCCCCACTTAGGAATTCCCTCCCATCGTCTCATTTTTCCAAGCTCTGTAAACAGCCTCACTCAATTCAACAAACGTGTTGCACTCTTATCTGTTACAGCTTTCAAAATTGCAGTCGGTTGCTGTCCGCTTGGCGTTTGTTTTGCCTTTGGGCCTGTTGCTCAGCAATCGCGTTTAACGCGAGAATGCGCACAGCAGTGAGGGTGGTCCCAGAATAGAGAGCGTCAGGCCGGGCGCGGTGGTCGGGCGAGCCCCGGGTACCGGCGCGAGGGCGATAGCGTCCCCAAGTGACATTTGAGCCACAATGGCACGCGTCGCTGACATTTCCACCGTTCTACCGGATTATTGCCGCTCATGCCGCAGACATGTGGCGCTACATGCGGGCGTCATGGTGAGCCGCCATCACCGCAGAGCGATCGTCTCCGCTCGGCAGCGCAGCACGCTCGGCAAGGGCCTTGGTGCGAGGAATACAATCGCCGGCCCTCACTCTCTAGTTTTAGGCCGGGGAGCCCAGGTCCCTCCGGTACACCGGCCCCAGTGTAGTTGCCCTGCCTGCACACTCGATGGCTACGCCACTGCCACCACCCCTCCCCTCTCATCACATGAGTCAACCATGGGTCCTTACCACGAGGCCACCACGTGGGAGCTACCGAAAGTGAAACATCTCGGACCGCGGTCCCAGAAGTGATGCTGCTTAGGCTCCCCTTTGACCACATCACCCAAAATGTGTCTGATTTATACCGGGCTCAGAAGCTAAGCAGAATTGAACCTGGTTCGTACTTGGATCAGTGGCTGGCAGGAAATACCAGGTGTTGTAGGCTGCGAGGTGGCCAGGAGCACAGCGATGCATCCCTGAATCTTTGTGGGCAGGAGCTTTAAGCGTTGCCCGCTCGTATGACATGGGGTTTCTCCGTGTGCTCGGGCTTCCTTCTACATGCCAAACTAATGCACTTTATTTACCAAGAAGAGACTCGACGAGGCTCTCCTAGGTGAATAAAGTTCATTAGTTTTGTTACTTGGTGTTGAGAGGGCTCGGCTCAACCATTACAGCCACAAACACCTCCACCGCCGACTTTCATCTGCAGAGAGCGAGAGCCTCATTCGCCTCCCTTCTCCGCGTGTTATTTTCGTGCCACGACAAAGCCATCCGTCGCCTATAGGCCATGCCATTCAGTGTAACCTTTGTGTTCAATAGGACACGTTGGGGGTGGGGGGGAGTGGCAGGGCACAAAAGCCACGGTCGCTGCATCGCAGGTACTGGGAAGCGGCATGTCCATTCGGTGGTGCGCCACTGGGCTAACGATAAGACTCATCATGCGTGCCGTCGTCCGCCAAACAAACGCCCCGAAATACTAATCCCATCACCCTATTTGCTGATAGCAGAGCCTTTAAACTTTTTTTCCATGAGAGTTTTAACTTCGGGAATTACTCGATTTTCTTTTTAAATAATTTCGTCTGGCGCCGCAGCTGCGATCTGTTAAGGGCCATCCCTCGGAAGGGTACAAATGCCGCAGCGCTGATGCTGTTAAACGTCTCGGCGACGCTCGGCATGTCAGCGCAAGAAGGAAGGTCCACCTGTGGCTGCGGGAGGCAAGGGGCCACTCGCCGGTCGGAGTGGGCTGCCCCTACACCGCGCCGTGGAAACCCAGGACAGGTTACGACACTCACCTTCGTTTTGCCCCATATCAGGGGCGGTGAATCTGCCCCTATCCACAGTCTTCTTTGCAGCCCCTAATTTATCCACAACACTCCTATCATCTTTTTTCAGGGATAAGAATCGCATGGAGAATGAATCCCGTTATCCGCGTTCTTCCAGGGATAACAGAAGCACCCGACAGTGGTCGCGAAGTTCAATCCATCTGCCATCAACATTCGTGGCTCAGAAGAATTACCCATAACTGGTACAAAATTAACTGTATCACGGCATCTGGACCCCCCGGCCCACGGGCTCCGGTGCAGTTGCTCCGCCTGCGCTCTCAATAACCACAGCCAGATCCGTCCCTAGGGTATGGCGAAATGGAGCGGCCACCCCGGGCCCTTTGGACGGGTCCGACTACAGCAATGGCAGAAGCCGCGGCGCGGGGAGGGGGTGGCCGCGGCTATCACTCCACGGGGAGGGGACGGCTTTCGCATGAGCACTCGCGCGCCCACGGGCGGCCGAATCGGGTGAGCGGCCTCCAGCCGACCGCGCTCCCGGGGCCGCGGCGAGGCCCTCTCTGCTCGGCACCGCCGCGCCGCTCGGTAAGCGAGCGGCTCGACGGAAGTTTGACAAACGACCGGCGATCCTGCAGCTCCCGGGCAATAAATCTCCGCCTTCACGGCCCGCGTCTCGCCGTGGCCGGCGGTGATTTACAACCACGGCCGCTGGCGGTGGTCACGTGAGCCGGGAGAGAGAGAGGCCTCCTCTCTTGTGGATGGCAGAGACGATGGCGCAGCGCATTGCGGCTCCATGCCACAATTAACGCATCGGGTTGTGCATCGTGCGCATGGTACGGGTTAGTGCATCAGGCGGCAGTGCATCACTGCATATCTGATTAGCACGGTTGGCTATGTACAGTGCGAAATAAGTTCAACATACATACAAAGGGCTTGGGTTCTAATCTCGACTTGGGTGCCTTTAAGTGTGGAGTTTGTACATTGTCACTATGTTCTGCATGGGTTTTGGGATCTGCATGACATAAATGCAAGTAAATTAATTCTTCCGCATTCTCGAGTTTCCTCCCATAACTAAAAACGCACACAATGTAACGAGTATCGGCCAAAACATCCCAATGATGAAAAAAATCCATCTGAAAATTACTCAACTGGAATCACACATTAACAACATTGCCCCTACAACATTGAGACTCGGTGAGGTTTTTCTGGATAAACAACAAAAGTAATAATAATAATATTGCAATGAGTTGGCAAATGGTACATGGAATGTGTCACACTATCCCCAGAGTCCCCTCTTTAAATTAGCTCTGCCCTGTCACCTTTAGAAAAAACACCACGGATTACATTTCCATAATGTAACAAAACAGCTTCTCTGCTTTGGTGTTCTGGCTGCCAGACGCTTCGTTCTCGGAGAGGGGTAGCGGGTGGGTAGTTGAACTCCCCCCCCCCCTCCCTGAGCCCCCTTGCCTACCCAGCACGGGCGGCGGGACGAGGGCCCCAGTAGTGGCAGCAGGAGGGCTGGGCAGTGGCCGAGCGTGGGCCCTGGCTTGTGGGTAATGGGACGGAAACCCCAGGGCATGGCCCGTGCCACCCAGCTACGCCGCACGAGGACACGGAGCCAAAGCGGCGATTTCGTCACGAGGTCTAGTGCGGATTTGACAAGGGGTAATATGTTGTCAACGTGACGAGCGGACTGCATCGCACGAGGCTCCGGGACGAGGGAACTTCGTTTTTTAAATTGAGGGGCGATCCCAGGCGCGTGCAGCGCATCCTGTAACCAGTTCACTACGAGCGAGACTCGGCGGAATTGTCTCGTGATACGAATAACACTGCAGACCGCGTCTGAAAAGCACAGCACGTTCGCGGTAGCATTTGTGCTATAAGAACGGCGTAAATACCAAGTGTACTTAATTAGAATGAACGAGCATGATTATGAATTAAATGATGAGAGGTGGGTGCCTATTTCATGACATCGAACGGGAGGCGGGCGACCTTCACTCAACACGGGAGGGGGGGGGGGGGCGAAGGGGGAGGGGCTTCCTCACCCAGTCTTTGCGAAGTTGGTCCAGTAGGTCATGACGACGGCGCTCAGCATCACGTCGTTCTTGGAGAAGTTGCACGGGAAAAGCTCCGTGGGGCCCACCATGGGCACGCCGAACACGTATGGGATCTCGTCGCCGTGCGCCGCGTCCGCCCACGCGGGCTTCATCTCGCTCTGGCAGTGGTGGTAGAAGGCGTAGAAGTAGGTGGGCGAGCCGTACTGCGCGTGCAGGTCGGCCGTGGCGACGGCGGGCGCGACCCACTGGTGGTCGGTGAAGAGGGCCACCAGCGTCTTGCGGCGCGTCTCCGCGTTGTCGCGGTCCGCCCAGTCGGTGTACATGAACTTGATGGTGGCGCGCAGCTCGTCCTTGCCCTCTGGATAGCCGTAGAGGTTGTCCACGAAGTTGGAGACCACGTAGTCGAAGTCATTGGCCGCGACGCCGTCCTCGCCGTCCACGATGTCCTCCACGAACTTGAAGCCCTCGCCCTGGTTGATGCCGAGCATCACGTCATAGTTGAGGAACTCGCCCTGCTCCATGAGGATCTGCGGGTCGTCGGGGATGACGTCGCCATCAATGACGGGCCCGAAAGCCACGTGGTAGCGCACGGGCGTGATCTCCTGCGCCACCAGCTCGTGGAAGGAGCGCGAGCGGAGGCACTCCACCAGGTCGTGCGTGTCCAGCCGGTTGCACGTGACCTTCTCGGCCAGCATGCGCGTGTACTTGATGGGTTGGTAGTTGAAGGCCCAGGACGAGAGCGCCGTGCCGCTCTGGGTCACCGCTCGCTGGAAGAGTCCTGCGGATGCAGAGAGGCGAGCGGGGTATGGGTGGAACCGCACGCTTATGCAGTCGCGGCAGCAGACTGGTCGCGAGAACCGGGCGAGAACCGGGAGGCCGGCGGTCGGTTGCGTGCAACACCTCGAGTGAACGTCTCCGCCTCCCCCCCCCCCGACTCGATGCCAATTCAGCAGCTGTGGCGGGGATGAAGTTCTCGAGTTGTTTACGCAACCGACCCCCGGGTCTCGCAGACAAACGGGCGCATGCGCAGGCCGCGTGACACAGCAGGCCACACAAGGAAGGACAATTACAATTTATATTCACATTTTCAAATCGCAATGCTCGTTAAAGCACGTAAGGTACATTTAGATTTATTTATTTCACAATTGGGATATAGACGTTGCTACAATGTTAAGTCTTACAGACCCACGGGTTGTTTTGTGCGGTGTTCCATTGCTAAAGTTCACAAAGTGATACAGAATTTAAGACGGGAAATTGCAATGGTAGCAAGAGCGGCCTTGGCACGAGGAGGCATGACACGCGGCTGTCTTACTCCTGCCACTGCTCAGGCACCTCGTCTCAAGCCTGTAATGTAAGCGGATCGATACCCCCAGTGACATCGGTCAAAGGGCAAATCACAAAAACCGTTAACATCACCAACTCGACATTTGCATCGGTGCTGGGACAATGGCTACAGAATCACTCAACAAAATCTATTCCTGCCCACGGTGGCCTGAGGGCATAGGGCCCAACGACGCAAACCGTGGGAGTGTCAGTCAGAGTGGGGCGTGGGAGTGATGGTCAGAGTGGGGCGTGGGAGTGATGGTCAGAGTGGGGCGTGGGAGTGACGGTCAGAGTGGGGCGTGGGAGTGTCGGTCGGAGTGGGGCGTGGGAGTGTCAGTCAGAGTGGGGCGTGGGAGTGTCAGTCAGAGTGGGGCGTGGGAGTGTCGGTCGGAGTGAGGCGTGGGAGTGTCAGTCAGAGTGGGGCGTGGGAGTGACGGTCGGAGTGGGGCGTGGGAGTGACGGTCGGAGTGGGGCGTGGGAGTGACGGTCAGAGTGGGGCGTGGGAGTGGGGTGTGGGAGTGTCGGTCGGAGTGGGGTGTGGGAGTGGGGCGTGGGAGTGACGGTCAGAGTGGGGGATGGGAGTGATGGTCAGAGTGGGGCGTGGGAGTGACGGTCGGAGTGGGGCATGGGAGTGACGGTCGGAGTGGGGCGTGGGAGTGTCGGTCGGAGTGGGGCATGGGAGTGATGGTCAGAGTGGGGCGTGGGAGTTTCGGTCAGAGTGGGGCATGGGAGTGTCAGTCAGAGTGGGGCATGGGAGTGACGGTCAGAGTGGGGCGTGGGAGTTTCGGTCAGAGTGGGGCGTGGGAGTGACGGTCGGAGTGGGAAATGGGAGTGACGATCAGGGTGGGGCGTGGGAGTGTTGGTCAGAGTGGGGGGTGGGAGTGACGGTCGGAGTGGGGCGTGGGAGTGTTGGTCAGAGTGGGGGGTGGGAGTTACGATCAAGGTGGGGCGTGGGAGTGTTGGTCAGAGTGGGGCGTGGGAGTGTCGGTCAGAGTGGGGCGTGGGAGTGTTGGTCAGAGTGGGGCGTGGGAGTGTCGGTCAGAGTGGGGCGTGGGAGTGACGGTCAGAGTGGGGCGTGGGAGTGACGGTCAGAGTGGGGCGTGGGAGTGACGGTCAGAGTGGGGCGTGGGAGTGACGGTCAGAGTGGGGCATGGGAGTGTCAGTCAGAGTGGGGCATGGGAGTGTCAGTCAGAGTGGGGCGTGGGATTGACGGTCAGAGTGGGGCGTGGGAGTGACGGTCAGAGTGGGGCGTGGGAGTTTCGGTCGGAGTGGGGCATGGGAGTGACGGTCAGAGTGGGGCGTGGGAGTGACGGTCAGAGTGGGGCGTGGGAGTGACGGTCAGGGTGGGGCGTGGGAGTGACGGTCAGAGTGGGGCGTGGGAGTGATGGTCAGAGTGGGGCGTGGGAGTGACGGTCAGAGTGGGGCGTGGGAGTGTCGGTCAGAGTGGGGCGTGGGAGTGTCGGTCAGAGTGGGGCGTGGGAGTGTCGGTCAGAGTGGGGCGTGGGAGTGACGGTCAGAGTGGGGCGTAGGAGTTTCGGTCAGAGTGGGGCGTGGGAGTGACGGTGAGAGTGGGGCGTGGGAGTGACGGTCAGAGTGGGGCGTGGGAGTGACGGTCGGAGTGGGGCGTGGGAGTGACGATCAGGGTGGGGCGTGGGAGTGTCGGTCAGAGTGGGGCGTGGGAGTGACGGTCAGAGTGGGGCGTGGGAGTGACGGTCGGAGTGGGGCGTGGGAGTGTCGGTCAGAGTGGGGCGTGAGAGTGTCGGTCAGAGTGGGGCGTGGGAGTGACGGTCAGAGTGGGGCGTGGGAGTGACGGTCAGAGTGGGGCGTGGGAGTGTTTTGGTCAGAGTCGAGTGTGGAAATTTCGGTCGGAGCTCGCCTACGTGAGGCAAAATTGACACGCGGTATGGGAGTCGTCGCAAGAAGATAGGTGGGGAAGACCTTCCACAGGTTCTTCCTGTCTCGTGATGACCAACATGTCATAACGTTTACCCTATGTACCCAGGAAACTACACTGAGTCTTGCAGTGGGATGTGTGGTCAACACCAATTATGTTGTTTTAAGCTATGGGAAAACAACTGGGGAACCCATGAATAAACCCACGCAGAACTGGGAGAGAACATACAAACCCCAAGTCAGGAATCGAACCCAGGTCCTTCTTGCTGTGGGGCAGGAGTGTAACCACTGTGGGACCACCCGGCAGCCGTCAAAGACCAGCAGCTACTCTGCCTACCTGGGCCACCTGCTTACGCACAACAGCCGCTCCATGGCACCTCTATGCGTTCACCCACCTGCCCTCCCTTGCGTTTACACGACAGTACAGAACAACCGTTTCAGAAAATAACGGCGTTTCGCTTGCAGTCCATGGCTGGTTTCCAGCCAGTCTGTTCAAATGGAGCCATCAAGCACCACAGCAGATTGCTGGTTGATCCTCTGCAGGAATTTTGCAAAAAAGTTCACAGTACAACGTTGCAATGAATGATTCATTTGGTTATTGTGCATGAAACAATACCACGCGGCCTTAGAGCTTTATCAATATTGTTGTGAAGTTAATAGAGAAGCTGCTGGAGAAATTTGGGCACCAAATTAATGAACATTATCAAGCCCTTTGCAAACATAATTGGCTGCCACTTAATACAGGCATGGCAATTATTTATTGAAATTATCCTTTTAACTCGGCAGTTTTCTTTTTCGTAACTTACTAATAAAAACAGTAATTACCATCATTGTTTGTAATACACTAATTAAAAATTAAAGATTTTTTTCCTCAATTCTTCATTTTGATAAATGTTTCAGTGCACGGCACGAGGCGGGCGATGTCTTTTAAAACGCGATTACACTCTCCCCACTCGGCGTTCCAGACGCTCGCTCGGTAAAGCACGTGACCGGCACGGCTGGCGAGCGGTCGCGGGCCCATAGCACCCACCCCGGTAGCCACGGGCACGGGGCTGCTGGGAGCGCAGACCGACAAAGTGCCGCACCGTCTGCGTACTCGCCGACAATCTGCGTACCCACCCTGGTTATAGAGTTGTACTCGTGTTTAAAGTGCCTAATCCTGAGCTTTATCCCAAAAAAAGTGCTTGTAATCCACCCAAAACGGTTTAACGTGTGGTAATCCTCCCTCTACAAAGAGGTGCGCAAATGCGGCGGGGGGATCGCGCGTCTCGCGGTGCTGCGCGGGATGGATCGGCTGGGTCTCGTCGTGGCGGCTGGGTCAGGCCCTCCTCGCTTGACGCTACAAAACCCGCGCGCTTCGGAGCCATCCGACACGGCACGGCGACACGGAGCGCGCGTCTCTCTGCAGTGAAAACGGCGGCGGCTGTGCGCGCGAGACGGCGCGACGTTGAATGATGGCGTGCCCAGGGAGCTGTTTGCGCTCCACCAAAGGGCCCGCAGTGCATTTGGGGCAGGATGGTTTGGTGGGCGCGCCGGTGCATCGAGAGGAAGGGGTCTCGTTGGGCGATCAATACGTATGTTTGACAAATATCCTTGTCTGTTTATATCCTAGTGTAATCATCACCCTAATTCCATTTTAATGTTTATTTAACCTAATTGTACTATGAGCAGTTTAGAATGTCATTTATCTTGTCGACTTTCACGACGGGAAATTAGATTTATTGAATATTTTGTTATGCTTGCGCAGTATTTTCGATTTTTTTCCCCTGTAACGCGGTTGTTCTTGATCTGATTTCTATTTGCTTCATTACTGTACTTGGTGTTGTAACTTTGTTCGTTTCGGTGACCCATGTCGGACACTCTAGCAAATGAAACTCTATCCTGGTCTCTGCGAGCGATCATCTGGCGACACAGAACGAACTCGAGTATGGAGCCGGATGTTGCTGAGCTAGATGCGTCGACGGGGTTCCGTTTTAATCCCACGTGACCCCCGTGCATGGCTCTCGCTGGACATGCGGCGGCACGGCGCGACTCTTCTGCCCCCGTGACCCCTGCACCGGGTTGGTGCCGCCCTCCAGGCTGCGGGCAGCCTCGTCGGCGGCGCACGATGTGCCGACCCCCCCCCCCCCCCCCCGTGACCTCTCCGACGAAACAATGCGAATTTCATTTGCTCGCAGCCGCGGTGGCGCGCGCAAGGGTAGATGTGACACGCGGCCCTGCTACGCATCTGTGACGGTGCAATCGAGTTGCATGTTCCCTTCCTGGGATGATGCATTTTTCGCAACTGACGCAGGACACATATAGCCCACGATATGGATTTCTTAAATACACCTTTATCCACTGCAATTTCTCATTTTGAATTCTGTTTCGTGACACACGTCGTGGAATAATGCATTTCCAAGTTAATATATTTCTTTGCAGAAGCCGGCCTAAGGGTGGTTGTTAAACAGCAGACGCGGTGATATTATTTGCCGATCGACACCCGCAAGGGAACTGCACGGTACGCGCGGTCCCGTGGCTAGGCGGTGACGCACGGAGCCGGCGTTGCCGCCACGGCGAGGT